CTCAGTCGGCTCTACTGTCTGGTCGTTAACCCCGGCCACGGTGCGTCCGCCGACTGACTCGCGGGACGCTTCCACACATACAAATGAAGCGATGCAGAAAAGCGCACAGGGGCTGCCATTGTATGAATATAAATGCCCTCCCGCCCCCCCATTCATTCATCCTACATCTGCCCTGCAGTAACGCCACAGGTCGAATCAAAAGCTCTGCTGTCTCTCCGCCCAACAAGCAAAACTTCTTTCTGAAACAATTTCCCTGAGGGACGGCGCAGCAGCTCTATAAAAAAAAAAAGAAAACAGCACATGCACTGTGAAGGGGGGGAGAAAAACAGCAGAGTCACACTACATCAGGAGTTTCCCACCTCCTGTTTGCTACGACTGTGCATCTGTTGTTCGCAGCAATCCTGTTGAGAAACATCTTCTAGCAGCATGCAGAGGAGAAAGCCCTGTGTGTGTGTGTGTGTGTGTGTGTGTGTGTGTGTGTGTCTGCGAGTGGTTACTCAGTCATGCGGCCACAGTAATCTCTGTGAGTGCTGCCTGCTTCTCAGTAAGGCCTGACTCAGACAGCGATGACCTCACCGCCGAATGGCTGGTTGTGTGTTTTTGTGTCAGCAGGGGTTGGTTGTGTTAGTGTGTGTGGTTGGCAAGATGGAGAACTAACAGCCCTAAAAAGGAAGAGGTTTGATTCCTTCACATCAAAGCTCTGCTGCTTGATCACAATCCAGAATGATTAAAGGACGGAGTTGACATTTCAAAACAGTCCTGCCTGTTTGTCATGGGTTAAAAGGGACAAATGGAAAGGGAAGATTATCGGAGATGCCGCTAACACTCCCGGGGGATCTCGTGAGCTCACGTCTTTCTCCTCTTACCGTATCCCTCCTTCATCGCCTCCCCATCTCTACTCCGCTGCTTCCCAATTGGGCTCTGTGGCGTCTCCGTCTAAGCTTTCTGCAGCCTCAAGAGGACAGAGAAATGCAGGAATGGTGTTTTTTTTTTTTTTGCCTTCTTCCACCCTTTGCTCTTCTTTGGCTTTCATATGATTCCCTTGAGTTTTACACACTGTCACTGTGTGTGTGTGTGTGTGTGTGTGTGTGTGTTGGCTGTGCTGCACCATGCTGAGGGCCTCCTTGTGTGAGAAATGGCAGCTGCAGAGAAAGACTTTTGAGTGTTACCCAGCGAGGACACTCTCAGTACTGTCAGCAGCTCGTGCACATGTGTTGGCTGTGCATAGCGCAATATATGCACACGTACATTCCCACATCATTAACGGAGTCTGAATTATACTTTAGCGTGGCTGGTATTATCAGCTGACTTGAAACATACTGGTGTCAGCTTATATGTTGGCAGAAATCTGTTTGCAGTATCGCAGTTTATGGTTGAATTCTGAAATGTCTCAAATGTCCCACTCAGTGCACATCTTTTTTTCACAACTCTTGAAAACAGATCCATATCAGAAATGGCTCGTATAAATGCCATGGCATATAAACTGTCAGTGTCTTGGAAGCTACTTGGAAAGTGTAGAGTGCTAAGCTAGCAGTTGCTCTACAATAATCGAAGCTGCACTGAAGCTACCACTGGAGAAAGTTAAGCTGCACCAACATGGAAAAAGAAGTCTAGTACATCCAAAACTACTTGTATTCATTGGTTTTTACATTTAATTGTATTCATTTGCATGCATTTGTTTTATCATATAAAATTACATTATCAGTTTGACTGGTTGTAATTACACAGTAACTAATCATTGACCAGCAGTACACACTTAATAGCCTGGATTTGTATTGAAGATATCCATAACCTGATCCTTCCTAGCCAAAAAGAACATTTCCACAATGCCATTTTTCCGAAGACAAATGAGGTTGCCTTAGCCGTTCATGTGTATGAGGATATAGCTACAATTCAGCTGCAGATATCTGCAATGCACCTTGCAGATTGAATTATTAGAATTATGACTAGCTGTAATCATTCCACTTTCAAATATCTACAGTTTAATTCTAACCAGCCATAATTCCAATTCAAGATATCTTTCATTCCCTACCATTCAAGTGATCCACTTTTTCTTTTTGATATGTGTTATATTAAGTTTTAACTAGTCAAATTGATGTGTGAGATATCTCAAACTGGAGCTCTGCCTATTAAAAAATGTAATTACAGATATCTTGAATTAGAGCTGTGAGTCAGCAAAACCGAGTTGCAGATATCTATAGTTATGTCAGAAGCTACAGCAAGTGGGAGACGTCTTGCTTTTCATATTTCATATTTTCATACTTATTTTCTAACCGCATATGACAAGCCCTTTTTACTGCCATGTCAGAGCAGACGGAGGCTGAAGTTCTTGTAAATTTCAACCACAAGTCTCTAATGAATGAGGTTCTTGTACTCTGCAAATTACTTGCTGGTGAGCTCGTCCGACTTCATGGCATTTTCTAATGATCTTATTCACCACAGCAAAGAGCATTACTTCTGCTAACACTGTTCAGATTCTTTGCTTGGACCAATGTCTAATGTGAACCCAGCATCATGCACAACAGTTCAAACTAGTCATAATGGCACTCGAGATATCTGCAACTATCATTTTCACAAGTCCAAACTGAATAACAGATTCTCTAACTGTCATTTTTATTAGTCAGAATGACAAAGCAGATAACAGAAATAAAAATTCTGACTAGCCACAGTGTAATTAAAGCCAAAGTTATGTTGATAATATCTAATTTTAATTCTGGATAGTCACACTCTGCCATGTGCTGTCTGTTATGCATATACCCATGCATGGCGGTGGCATCATGTACTGATCCTTGGTTTATTTCAGACTGCACTCAAAGCTCCACAGCACTTGTTGTTTCAGAAATGTTCAGAAAATGTAGCTTGTGTTGACACTGCTGTACTACTTGATCCATAAAAGAGCTTCACGCTGAAAAGCTGTTTGATTTAGAAAACAGTGCTGGTTCCGCCATGCTACTGACGAATGCAGGTAAACCGGTACCACTACAACTTGTAGCGAAGCTTCCACCCAACACTGTGAACAGTGTAGAAAGCGAAGGTGTTTCTATTTTCTACATTCACCAATATGTCAGTCAATAGAATATAATTCTGCAACATTTTTGGTAATTGATTAACTGGTATTAATTGTAATTATTTATTTAGCAACAAAGCTAAAGAGTCACACAAGAATCTCTGTGAGGCTGTACTTTGGAACAGCAGTACTTTGACCCAATGCTGCATGCTAACATACCATAATAGTAACTGTAAACTGTACAAAAAAAGATGACCTTAACGTGATGCATTGGTTTCTGCACAAGCTTTTAGAAACCTTGACATTTTGCGTTTGCCATCTTGGTTTTCTAAAATTGCTTGAGGGCACGACTCATGGTAATACACCAGCAACCTTTCAATCACAAGGTATCGCCAACCTAAACCGTACCCTGCTTTATTGTTTTTTTCAGTCTAAATAGGACCGTATCTACTAAATAAACATCATGATGTCTTCAGAAAGTCTTGAAACTAGCAATTTAGACCATAATCTCATTAGAAAAATGTTTACTGAAGTAATAAATCAAGTGAGAAAAAGGGTCATTTTCTCATAGACTTCAATAGAATCAGACTTATTTCTGCAGAAAGAGGAGTCACCCCCTGCTGGCTATAAAAAAAATACAAGTTTAAGACACTTTCACATTGATTTCACCTTTCAGATCCAGAAGTTGTGTTCATCAATAACATGCTGATGTTTAGCAGGAATTAGATTTATGATGTTTTTCTCATTTTAGCCGTTATCACGCTTTTATCTATTAAATAGCACCGACATAAGGTACAACAGAGGCTACTGGGAATGTCATTACTGTTGAGGCTATAGTCGTAAGACAAAGTACTAGACAAAATGTAAGTTTAACCAATAATGGTGCTGTATTAAAAAAAAGTTAATACGTTTTATTCTGAAATCCTGAATGTAAGTTCTGAATTTCATCACAATCGGACCTGCTAGTAAGAAGGATATTTCACTCACAAATAAAAATGTCATCGTGCCTTTAGAGTAAAGATCAGTTGGCCATCAAAGCAGGAAACCAGCCAACAGTTGAGAAAAAGGTGAAATATCCAGAGCTAAAAATACCAAAACTTGCAGCTGAATCCAGTCAATTGCCAATTGACTGATCAGCTTCCAGCATTACCAGTCAGTCTGCAAACTCTGTTTCTTTGGTTATAGCTACTGAGCTTTAATACCTAACAGTCAGACTATGTGTAGTATGTGAGTCTCTTTTTGTGTCTGATGCTCAGTTTCTCACTCCACTCCGTCTTCCTGTCTCTGTCACACATCGCGTCTCTTGACTTCGAACATTTCATTTGCATGAACAGAATTAAAGTCTGCGTGCGATGCAGTGACTCAGATGTACCTTTGCTGACCACCCACGGATGCTGCTGCAGAGAGAACGCTCTTTTTTGCACATTCTCTCCGACTGCCGACGAGACTGTGTGTGTGCATGCATGTGTGTGTGTTCGGGAGTCTGATGATGTAACTAACCTGATAACTACCTCGGCTGAGTTCTAATCAGATCCAAGGTGGTCTGTTTCCTGTCAGTATCGCTAAATAGGATTTCCCCCCAAAATCATATTTTGCAGCCCTCTTCCTCTTTTATGAGCAGGGACACACTCAAGCAGAGCCCCTTGTAATATTTGCTTCATTTACTTTGCTTCTATTACCCCTTAACAGCACTGGCATCAGCACTTTCAGTATTTATAGCCTCAAGCTTGAGCTGCTGTTCTTTTTGTTGCGGCACCTTTATGACAAGACTTTCTCACCCCCCCCTCCTCCTCCCTTATCCCTCCTCTATCTCTCCCCGTCATTCTCCTGTGCTGCTTTCCCAAATTTCATTTCCTCCCTTTTCGTCTTTCTCCCTAAACTCACTTCGCCTCCCTTCACCTCCATGTTTGCACTCCCTGCATCATCTGTCTAATTCATTCCTCCCCTCCCCTTCCTCCTCCCGGCTCTCCCTCCTTCCCTTTCTCTCCCGCAGAGCCGGATTGGGCGTCGCTGACCTTGGGTGTGTTTGTTTGCCAGGCCTGCTCGCTCCTTCACCGGAGCATCCCCCACATCAGCCGGGTCAAGTCTGTCCAGGACACATGGGATGCCAGCGAGGTGGAGGTACGGTGGTAACGGCAAAAATCCGCACTCAGCTGGTGTCGCTTTTCTATGGAGCCCCAAAAGGGACATGTATGAAAGAAAAAAAACTCAAGTCTCTCGTGTGTGCGACATAGGTTTCACGTGCGAACAAGAGTTCAGTAAAGTCGGAAAGATATTCAAAAATCCTAACTTACAGCATCAATAACTCCAAAGCGAATCACCGTTTTAAATCAAATGGCACCTCTTCCCAAGTGTTGTAATACAAACCACAACCTACAACCAGCCATAATCGGGGTTTTTTCCCCCAAAATGAGACGTTCTCTATGAATTGATCTTTACATGCAGCCGGCTGCCAGACTGGAACTCAGTGGACAAATTACCACAGCGAAAACTCAATAATGCTGCATCTATTGTTTGTAGTGCCACCAAACTCACATCACACATTAATGACCTTCCTCTGGTTACAACACTTAGATTGGAAAAATGTACTATTATATAATTTTAGGGATTTGTCCCAATCTTTGAATATCTTTCCGACTTTACTAAACTGTCGTGCACGTGAGATACCTTTTTTTTTTTTCCTGAAATGTCCCTTTAGGGGCTCCGTACATTCCCCCACCAGTCCTAACTACACAAAAAACATTCGAGACTCATTCTAGAACACATTTTTATTTTTATCCTAAGATAATCTCACTTTTTTTGTCTTGTACAACGCCGAACCGCACCTGAACACACTATGTACAGACGGAGACAGACAAAGATAGCTGCTCTGCTAACATGCTGCTCGCACTACGCCTCCGCAGCGTTAGATGGGATGGGGTCATGGGAACTTGACAGTCGTGGAAATCACCAAGAGAATGTTACACAGTAGGAGATGCTACACTGTCAGGTGCAGCGCAGGATGTTTGTCTGGATGCATCTCAATTTCTAAAATGGGCAGAAAGTCTTTAAAAAAATAAAATAAATAAACTGTCAGACCTCTTGTTAAATTAGCACGATGACAGTTTTAATTTAGCGTCAAATTACTCTGAGTTATTTTTATTTTAATTGCTTTCGGTAACATTTGTGAACTCTTTATCAGTTTGTTTCATAAAGGCCAAACTCACAGATTTGCCTCAAGGCGCTCTACAGTCTGCACAGCATACAAAGCCCTCTGTTGTCAGAGCCTCGATTCACATCGAGAAAAACTGATCTGACCCGACTTGACTAGTGTATTTGTACATGTGTCATATGACAAGCTTGGACAACCAAAGACAGAACTACCGCAAGTAGGGAAAACTGACAAATATGACACTTTTTCCGAAATCATATACACATTCTGCTGACAAAACAGTTTAAAATTAAAAAGATATGAAATGAGATACCACTCTCACATCTATGATAAATATGAGGCTACATCCAGTGCCCAGTTTGCTTAACTTTGCAAAAAAAAAACCCTACTAACTTGGCTCTGTGTAAAGATAACATGCCAGCACCTGTAAATCCATCATTCCCCTGGACCCCTAAAAAGTCTTTAATTCATTCATGCAAAATTAAGGCCTCAATTGCCCTTATAAATTACAGCTAACTACATCTTTCAAAGGTCTTAAAATACTGCAAGCCCAGCAAAATGAGATGTCTGTTCCATTTCCTTTCATTTTGAAATTTTTGTGAGGAATAGTAGGGGGACTGGGCTGCATGCAAGGTGGTGGATGTGCCACCTGAAAGCTGTTGACTAAATTCAAGCCAAGCAAGTTCACACACTGAATATTTAGAGTACCAGTGCCAGGTGAATCTCTCTGTGTATTTTGCAGTATACTGGAGTTTTAAATCTAGTTCCTGTGGCGACATTCACACGTTGGCACGCTGGTAGCGACACGGCAGAGCTTTAGCGGGCTACAGTAACTAGGAGTCAGGTGGAGCCAATGGCAGAAAAAACACTGAAAGCTTCCAAGAAAAAGTTTCTGATGCTAAAGATGAAGAAGAAAAACTGTGTTAAGAAGGAGGATTACAGTTTTAAAAAGGAAAGGCGAGGTAAGACGAGTGAGCGGTGTTTGTGTAATTACACTCACTGCCAAAGGGGGGCAGACGAAAGTTCCACACTGCAGGTTTAAGTTAATTTCAGCGTGTTATCGGGGCACATGAGGATATGTCTAAATACGCCTAAATGTACTAAATGCTTGAATGCAGTGATACACCAAAAAGTGTTTTGTTGAAACATGGGCTGTGTCGGAAATCGTCCACTCACTCCCTATTCATTATCTAGGGACGGCTATATAGTGAAGTATGTAGGGAGAACCTCGGCAACATAACATTTCGGACACTAATCGTGCTATTCGGTACGTCGCTCGCAAACACATCAAATTCACAGTTTATTGCGTAGCTAAGAGACGGTTAAAGTAAAATTTACCCAAACATAAACGTGATGTTACTCACATTTTAACGACAAGTTTTCGCGCTCTTGTTCGTCTCGCATTTTCTTTCTATGCACGATGGTCCACATTGCTTGATTAGTGACCATCAGCTGTACACCACTTTTCACGATACATTGTGGGATATTTGAGTGCACTATAACATTCGTAACTTAACATTCAGACAGCACTACAAAATGACGAGCACCCTATGTACTGCACTATGTAGGGTATAGGGTGTGATTTTGGACACGATGCCATGACGAAAAACTCCCTGGGTCTTTGGTTTAAACTTTATAGGAGAATGTAGCTCACTTTAAAATGCTAAAAGCTAAATAAGCTCTGGTAACTTGTTATTGTCATCCATTACAAAAGATGTAGATATTAAATCACAGTGTTGTGAATAAAATGACGCGGTATCAACAGTTTTATCAATAGTCAAATTAATACTGGCAGGACACTACAAGAGCTCTGCACCTCCTGAACTTCTTTGAGTCCCTCTTTTAGATGTTTCAATAAAATGACTACAAGGAAAAACTCATTTTACATGTTGTAAATGTAAAATCCCCAATTGATACTTTACAAACTGTCAAACTGTGTTTAGTTTTGCATGAGGTTCCATATCAGACTGTCTCTTGAGTAAAACCATTTTTCTGGCAACCAGCAGAGACTCCAAGAAGTTATTGGTATCAGTCTGTCTGACTGTTCTGACAGATTCTTTATTCTACACACTAATTGGGTGCGAATCCCAGTATATGCAACATAAAGTTGAATATTTTCTGTGTGACTGTGCTGAATATGCATACAATACAGACATTTTAAGTGCGAAGGCCACGGTAACTGCCAAATCTAAAACATCACTATTGTTTCTATGGAAACAACCCAGTCATGGGGACATTTGCTTAACAATGTGACAGAAAATAAAGCAGAATGAGGAGCGACAGGGCTGAAAAGACAGAAAATTATGGATATTTTTTTTAACCCAAGCAGCTTTGCTTGCTGATACGTACTGTAGGTGCAGATCTCAAACTGTTGTTTGTTTTTTGCACTGTATCTGTAGATCAGTCGTAGGTTTTTAGGGAACTTGACACAATAGGTTGCATTAAAAAACAACCTTTTAGCATCATATCTGGTATCAATCTGTCATTGCTGCTTTGAGTGGCTGTGATACCTGCACCCAGACATCTAAATTCTGATCAGCTCCACGGCATTGATCGCCAGGCTGACTCTGACCTCTGACGTCCCGTCGGAAGGAGAAAATTTCACCGCAGGGATCAATAAAGTTCAATAGTGAAATAATGGTTTACGCTTTTCTCTTGTGTGTAAAAAGAAGCTGAGCTGTGATATGCCTTCAGAATCCCTCCCCCTACAGGAATACATCAGCAAGAAATATGAGCACTGTGCAAAATTGTAAACACAGAAATGTGTATTTTGAGTTTTTCTCTTTGACCCTCCGGGGGATAAGTAAAGTTGTCCCTCGTACAAAACCGCATCTGAGCTGAACTACCAGCAATCTGTGACAAAGAGGACTTTGGGGGAGGTGATGCTGATGTGAGTCACGAGGAAAAAAACAGGATGTTGGAGGTGTGGGAGGACAATAATTGGGATGTAATGGGGATTTGACTTTCTGGAACAGCGGGGAGGTGTTATGAAGAATAATGGAAGTGGAGCTCTGAATGTTTGGAGATAAAACCCCAAATAGAAGTACACGTATTAGATGATTTGGATGCATGGGTTTGATTGAAATGCTGGGGAAAAAGAGGGATTGCGAGGGCTTAGTGATGTCTGTTTGTCTTAAATATTATTCACTGTAGTTGGGAGAGTGCTGGGAGGATTTTGAGAGGATTGTTGAGAGCTCTGGAGCTGCTGCGGTCCCATTCTAATAAAACATAAGTGATCAGATGAGTCACTTTTGTCTAACAGCCACAGGAGTATTCATGTTATTAGCTGAACCTTGCTAATTTCCTCCAAGAACAGAGTAAATTCCTCAGTGGTCATCAGGGGATCTCGCTTCATGTTGACTTACAATAATCATGCCACTAAGGTGGTTTTAATATATAACCTATATATTAACCTATATAGTTCATCTGGTTAATGATATCCAATCCGACAGTCTTAGCCTTTACACCCAACATTAAAAAGCATCGTCATTATTGCAAAATTTGCTCTGATCTCAAAATCTAAATAAGTCAGGCAGGGCGGCTGGCTCACCAACAATCATGAAGCATTCCAGGTCAATGGGAGCAAAGCTTTTGTTGGACTTTTCTTTATAACATCCTGACCAGTAGTATTGGCCAATATTAGTCTGTCACAGATATGTCAAGTGTTGGTATATACATTGCCTGATAGAAAATTGCTTACACAACTCTTCACTCTGGCTGCAGTACATGTAGCAGAGTACGTATCACTGCTGAACATACGGTGGAGTCAAGCGGTGTCTTCACTTATTTTGTGAAATGCGTTGCTAGAAAGTTATTAATGGACCCATCATTGTCCCTTTTAAACATAATTGTAGGGTATATATGAATGAATTGTGGACAATGTATTGACATCGGAATTTTTACTCCTGAAAATCAACACTGGCTTCAAAAATCAGGTTTTAGTCAGGCTAAACTTATCCAGATAGGTTGTTCAAGTTGCATTTTAGTACCAGTTTCGTAAATGTTTGGGGGAGTTCCTGTAGACATTTCCCCTGGCAAAGCAAACGTCTCTGGGATGATGTTTAGTTTTAGTTTTCTTTTTTAAAAAAAGAAAGAAAGAATGAAAGAAAAAAAATATATACCTGGAAATTGGATTTACAGCTAATGAAGGTTAAAGACAAACATGCCAATAGTAACTTTATTATGATATGAAGCAGAACAATGGAAACAGACAGTAGTGTGATGTTAACATGATACAAAATTTCACATAAAAAACAACTTGAGAAAGCACAGATGCAACGAAACAACATGACATACACAAGAAAATGAGTTTGTTGAAAGCTGGAGCACATGCTGTAGGGATCATTTTGGGAATATAGGCTGTGGAACACGTTTGACAAACTAAACCTACATCTTCATTTAGACAAAACCTGCATGATGACAGCTCAATTCTACACATTGCTGCTGACGGATCAGTTTCTTCCTGTGTTTTTAAATCACACTGTGTACTAATAAGCCCCTGCTGGCACACATGTGTAACTGCAGGTAAACCAATCCCAGATTGCAGAAACCCAATCCTCAATGTTACAGCCAGCTCTGCCATCCTAAGTGTGAGATTTTCTACCATTTTTCCTGTAGACAAGCGTTTCTGTTGTAATAATCTGTGGCTCTCATTTCTCAGATAAAATTTGACACTCTAAATAATATTTACAGTGCAGCAACAGACATTATTTAAATCAGTGTCATTATGCAAATGGGCCTGTATGCGTACAAGCAGATGGATGTATAACAAATTGGATTATTGCTACTGCGTGAATGTAGGAGTACGAATGTTTTTGATAAACGAGACCCCGACTTCTCATTTCATTTGAACATGGAGGAAAAAAATGAGGCTTGCATGGCCTCATTTCTTGCTGCAATGTAAATCACGTCCTCATGAAGATTTGGTCATTTTATTCAACAGCAGCTGAATGTCATGCTCTGCAAATGCATGCAACTCACAATGTGATGAGGTGAGCAATTTAAACTGGATACTGAGCGGAGCTGGTTACACTGAATGACACAGAAATAGTTGCTTTCATGTTGTTGTCAGCAAGTTCTTAACGTTATATCCAAGGTGTCAAATTGTGGCGGCAATTGGCAGCAAATCGGTGACTTTCTTTAGAGTTTTGTGTTCGGGGTCGAATATTCGGTTTGACCTTCTCTAGAAAACGCATCAGTCCCAGAGCCCCTCGGAGGACGAGAAGAGGTGTGTTGAGGGATTCATTCAGCTGGACTGAGCTCAGGGATTATCCTTGGGTGAAATACAAGATGGAGGCAGAGAGGGCATGTCCATTGCAGCGTGGACATTTCCACAATTAATCCCACAATAAGGCGGAGGCCTTGCTTTGAAGTGAACAAAGTCTGTCATGCTAAAGGTTTTCAGTAATGTTTTTCCGTCTTCCTATTGTAGTTTTGTTGTCACCGTTCTTAAGTCTTTTTACCTTGAAATGTCACGGCTTCGGTTATGTGGATCAGCTCTGAAAAATGGGAACTGATGGAAACGTACTTTCTGACTTTCGTTTTAAAAGTTGAGGAAAGTTCAAGGAGAAATATTATATGTCAATAAAAACTGCACACTCTGTGACAGATCCAGGTTCTGATCATTGTTAACATTTGCAAGATTTATTGCAGCTAAATTTATCTGCTTCACAAATTTAATCTGACATATAGATGTTCAAATTTAAGTATGGATAAAACTGCAGCTGATTCATGGTTAAATGTGCCGTTAGATGAAATTTGCCTCGCTTTCCATTCACCCTGGACATCTGAAATGCTGCAGTGTTGGAAACTACTTTGTATTCTACTGAAGTGAATATCCAACTGTGAGCAGTATCTAGATGACCAGGTTGTTTTCTGTCTCCCTTTCAGTTAGTGGCCGCGATGGGAAACAGTGCTGCCAAGGCCAAGTACGAGCAGAAGGTTCCTGCTTTCTACTACAGACCAACACACACTGACTGCAAGTAAGTACTCCTGGTTTTAGTTGACTTTGAAAACACAAATACTGGGAAGTGCAGGTTTCCAGTTAGTTCAAGGACAGATTTGAAGACTTTACCAACTTTACTTTAGAGGCCTGTCATTGCCGCCTTTCCTCCTGTATTTCTGACCTTTTAGTCCCGCATAATATGAGATAAGATGGACTTTTTAATAATCCCCAGGGGAAATTTTTGTGACAGATATTGCTAAAAATAAAATCAGTGCGCACTTTCAGATCCTCGGGCAGAGGTCTTTGTATTTTCCAGAGGCCAGGCTAAGAAACTAAAGGGGACAGAACATTTTTTTGTCAAGGCCCCAAGGCTCTGGAAGTATCTGCCCGAGGAAATCAGGTCGGCTCAGTCGGTGACCTCTGTTAAGTCCCCACATTAAAAATACTTTTATTGCACAGTCTTTCCAGATTTTGCTTCTTTTTTTATTTATTTCAATAGTATTTTTACCTCCTCCAACATTGTGTTGCATTTTGTTTTAATCTGTCTTTTAAATTATGAGAATTTTATGGCTCCTCTGTTTTATTTTGTAACTTTGGTAAAAATTCTTAGAGAGACTATCATTATTATTGTGAAATATATATAACTTGCTCCTAATGTTGTGTTTGTACATGCAGTTTGTGTTTGTTCTCCGAAAAGAGAGGGAAAAAAAAAGCATGCCACTGAATTAGCTTAACCTACTAGCTTGTTAGCTAACCACTAAACATGTTTGGTGTACGAAGTGGTGTTAAAGATAATATAGTGAAATCAAACAAGTGCCAAATTTACCTTATTGTGATATTACATTTTAAACCATATTATTTTTGTATGGTTATTGAATATTTTGTCAGTCAGCTCTGAACCGACTGACCTTCCATGATGACACCGGCATTACTTAAATGTCAGCGTATGTGTCACTATACAATATAACCTTCACTGAACTAAATACCAAATGTGACTGTGAGTTCACTTGTATTTCCACTGCTGTTTCCTACTCTATATAAATAGAAACAACTTAGAGAAGTGGTGTGTCCTTTTTAGTTGCTCTAGCTAACAGAAGCTAACTGGCTAGCCATTACCGGAGATCATAAATATGCTGCAAACACTAAATGACAAACACATTCAAACATTAAGAGACATAGTATTGTGTCTTGGGCATCCACCAAGTCTTAAGTTTAACAAGTAAAATTCTGCTATGCTCATCAGCTAATGTGTCCGTCTCTTTTTTGGTGTTAGACAGATAGTGTCTGGGGAGTTTTTAGTTGGGAACAGTTGTGTGTTACTTCTCGAAACAAAGTGGGACTGCACCAAAAAACAATTGTACAGAATGTGTATCATATATTAGTGCTGCTTGAGAGCCGTTTTTCTGTAGTAACAGGCATTGTTAAGCTCCACAGTCTCGTACCTACAACTGAAAGTGACATGCAGCAACACTACGTGCTGCTAAGTGTCAAAGTGATGCAAACACTACAGTGGTTATTGATACTGGAAATCGAGACACTGTATACCGTTTCACACCTCTGACTGTGTATATCGCTTCGACATCGCTTCCTCTTTCTCTTTGTGGCTAAGAAAGGCCTATAAAAAAACTCAGGCACCCCCCACCTTGGGCTATTTCATGTTTTACTGCTTTAAAACGTTGAATCACAGTGGATTAATCCAGCTTAAGATTTTTTTGACATCATCAAAGCTCTGTAAAACTGCATTTGAATAATATCTGGAGGCTGCTGTATAGTACAGACTGTACCGACGTGTGCTTTTAAAGTAAGTTTTTTTTTTTTTTTGAGGAGATAACACTCTTGATTTTCTTAACCATTTTTTAGGTTTGTCGTCCCATCTATCTCCTGTGCCTGCCTCCCACAGAATTTGATGAAAATAGCCAGAACCAGAACTTAGGAGGAGTAAGAGAGAGCTCAGATGAAAGAGAAATGTCTTTCTCAGTGTCGGTGCCATGGTGTCTGGTTGTGTTCACACACTCCGCTCCCCCGAGAGCCACAGGGTTTAGTGTTTAAGATCCAATGTCGGTGGAGGGTGTCATTCAAAGAAATCTCTGCTAAGAGTAAGACATTTCTACCTCTTGACGCTGATAACACGGTTGATATACTTCTTGTCGACACAGAAGAAAAGCAAATAATAGGGGGAGATGTGTGTGTGGGGGGAAAAAAAAGAGGATGAAAGCTGCCCGGAGCTTGAAGTAGACACTGAAATGTTGAGAGAGGTAGAGAAGGAAACAGGATGAGAGAGATTGTTGGCATGGTGATGAGCGGACTGTTGCCATTTGTTTCTTCTCGCACTGAAGAGAAGAAAAAAAAAAGGTCTAAAATTGATTTTGCTTCCTTTAAATGCAGATTTGGTAAAAGACTGTGATAATGTGTCATGTTTCAGTGTCATATATGTAGCGTTTAAGATCAGGGGATGTTCCGTGATTCTGTCCAGTGAGGGTTAATTAACAAACCTCAAAGCGAGAGGTATAAAATTTTAACTGTCATTGTAAAACTAAAGATGATGACAAAGCATTTTATTAACGGGTTGCTGTGTGGCTTAATGTACATTATGCTCATGGTACTTTAACAAATCATACCCGCTTCTCTTTCCCCACATTTTCTGTCTGTATCTCCATTGTTGCTGTCAACAAAAGCATTTATACCCAACAATGAAAAAAAGCCATTTAATAGATTATGACACTCTAAAAAAGATAGCCTATGCCGTACGTTACTGAACCAACCAGCGAATTTAAAGCAATAGTTTTGGGAGAACTCTGTTTTGGTGAAGATAGCAGCTGATTATTTTAGCTCAGCAGTCCTGAACTCTTGCCAGCAAGAATTAGTCTGTCACATAGCGCTCATAATACCACAACTTGTAGTGTTTTAGCGAAGGAGATATAAAGTGTTAATTAGCAAGCTTTAGAGGTGCTAGTAATTATAGTTTGTTACTTTTAAACAAAGCCAGCCCAAGTGCTTAGCTAACTTGCACTCATCTGATCAAACTCACTGCAAAAAGGGTTTATTGCGATACTTAAATAGACAAGGAGAGCGATAAATAAATCCGTCACTTCCAAAATGCAACTGGAAGATTTAATCCTCAAATGTTGTTTGTAATTTCTTGCAAAAGTTGCACCTGAGTCTTTCTGACAATCTGTATTCACTCCGCCACCAACAGTTGTTTTCATTATCAGTAATTCTACAGATTAATTTAATGGATGAATTATTAATCTGTTAAATCTATTAAGTCTATTATTAATCTATCTATAAATGATCTATTGCAGGAGTTTTATAATTTGTTACTTGAAGGTCTGCATCAGTTTTTTTATACAAGATCAGGGGTCCAGAATGATTGATGATAGCAAGTAACATTTAATTAACTGGCTTAGTTTTGAGCAAAATGCATACAAGTTGAAGACAGTCAAGATAATCAAAACAGATTTGAGCCTCATGGGATAAATTGGACTGTTTGCCTCTAATTGTAGAGGTCATTTAATTTATTTTGTACATTTGAAGACAAATGTACAAAACAAACCAACACAAACAACATACATATAAAGCAATGAACATAAAAAATAACAACGATAAACAATAAAAGCAGTAAACATATTGTGCCAGAACAAACCTAAGGCTCAGACAGTTAGCAAATACGTAGTTCTGACCGAGACGTATTCTTACATTTACACTAGTTGGAGAAATTATCTGATGAATCAAATTCTCTGGTGTAACTGCTGTATATAATCTCCAGCTACACTGTACATTTACCATCACAAACAATTTATTGATTGATCAAAAATTTATTTAAATGTTTTTTTTTTAAATCACATTTTATAATATATTGTATTCATAACACAAGGTTTAGTCCAAATGTGTGAAAATTGCCAATGGCACCTCATCAGACAATGAGATGATGTTCTCCTGTGTCTAACAAGCCGAAAACGTTTTAGTTAATGATCAACAGTACTTGAGAAAATCAACAGATATCATCATTTGAGAAGCTGGGACAAGTTCTTACTTAAACTATTTTTGCATAAAAAACAATCAAATGGTTCACTGGATATCAAAATAGTTGCTGTTTTTCTGATGATCGACTAGTCATTTCAGCACTGTCATCAATTTATGTTGATGTTCAGTCACACAGCTACATTTGTACTTCTACAAATTTTACAAATGCAGATGAAACACACACAGATTTAAATACAATTTTGTCATAGTTGTCTTTAACATAATGGCAGTCTACGTTAGAGTATGATCTGCTGTACTGTAACATATTTCAAATCTGCAGGGACACACACTGTCATATTGGATCAATGCCCAAAAGGTTGAAGATGTGAACTTTCCTCAAACGTACACAGAATATAGCATTTTTCTATGTATGATATTAAGAAACATGACAATGTTCCAGAATCCCCTTTTACTGTCACTCATTTAGCAATTACTGTGAAGCACCCCGGTTCATCTCTGTGAGGTCATACCAAAGGAACACGCTAAAAGCACACAAAGAATTGAATTTATTGATGTGAAACTAGACTATTATTTGTGTGTAGCAGAAAGTCCCAGTGTGTGGTATCTCACTGACAAAGAAAAATGGTTTTGTGTGTGTAGATCAGTGCAGTTGATGAGTGTGCAATTCACATAAAAGCCAACTGTGTGTTTCATCATGTCTGCAGGCTGCTGAGAGAGCAGTGGATCAGAGCCAAGTACGAGAGGAACGAGTTTGAATTTATCGAGAAGCAGGAGCCTTACTCTGCAGGTACGTGCATACTGATAAGGAAACCTTTGTGTTATTATTACTTGTGAAAGCCCTCATTGGTTTAGGTGTGTCTCCACGTTGCCCTAACATCAACTGAGCAGATTTATTTAAATTTGTCCCTCTTCTGACTGGAGGTATCTTGTGAAATCTGCTGATACTGTCCCAGTATTCGAGTGCTGTGGACTTGAATAGACTTCAGACTACAGATAGACTGCTGTGGGGCTCTGCCTACCTGAGAATCAGCTCTGTGAGGAGCGAACTTGACTTTAGACTTTAGAGCAAAAGTCTTGCTTGATATCAGGCAGGATTGTGAACTCATTTCACTCTGTTTCTGTCTTCAGTTGGACATGCCTCTAACAGAAGGGGAGGGGATTCAGTTTTGCCTTACCAGTCAATAGAAACCAATGTATTTACCCGCATCGTATGTCACTTTATTGCCAGTATTGTACTTTTTGTGGCCACAAGTACGTGAGAGTCCACTAGGGTCCCCGTGATGTAAGTTTCTCCATTGGCGCCAATCTACTATGCGTGTCCTTCAAGTGACTCCAAGCGGACTACAAATCAGTACGCTAAATGTACAATCATGTGTAATCATCCCAACATACTGGTTTTAAAGTGTAGCAAATTGAAATCAAAACAAACTACAATGTTGGCTGATATTGAAAAAAGATGCTGTCTATGTAAAATAAATGTGTCAGTTAGGAGCATCATATCAAACTCAAACAAGCCTAAAAGTGTTCTTTCTCGTCTTCCTCCTTCTTCTTCTGTTGTTTTCACTCCTCACTGGGTCCAGCGCACAGCTTGACAACACTTGGGTAGTCGTTTGTCCTCCCACGGTGCTCATTGAACCAATTGTTTTTTCAACCGAGACGAATCAGTTAACTTGGTGATGTGGATGGATTTAAAAGTCTGGACCCAGGCTAAATTGAATCTCAAGTCCTCTGACCTGGTGTCATCCCATAAACAACACACAAAACATCAGCCAGACCTTTAATGGACATGCAACTTGAATATTTATTAATAATATCCTGTGTATTAACTGGTTTTGTCTCAGCTTTCCCGTGAAAGGAGTAGTTTTACATTTTAGGGAACTGCATGCTTGACTAAGAGTTACATAAAAAGATTGATACCAGCCTCATGTGAAATGAATCATATGACGCTGCTGCCAAAGAAGTGGCTTATCGTAGCATAAAGACTGGAAACAGGAGGGAACAGCTAACCTGCCTCTGGATAAAGCCAACAACGCATCTACAGGTCAGCAATCAGCACATTACATCCTGTTTGTTTTATCTGTACAAGCCTCGACTGGTTGCCTGGTAACCTCACAGTGATGGCAGGACTCCAAATCACTGTGTCCAGTCGACAAATAGTCCACAACCAGGCTAGGTGTTTCCTTTGTGTTACAGTTTTCAGCTAAGCTAAACTAATTATGTCACAGAGCGAGCTTCATATTTAAATCCATCCATCCATTATCTATACACTGCTTAATCCTCTGTAGGGGCGTGGGGGGGGCTGGCGTCTATCCCAGCTGACATAAGGCGAAAGGCAAGGTACACCCTGGACAGGTTTCCAGTCCATCTTCATGTTTAATATGAGAGTGATATCATCTTGTCAAGAAAACAAATAAGAGTATTTCCCTAATTGTCCAATTATGCCTATAGACAGCTTTGATCGAAAGTCAAACTGTCACATGATACATATCAGTCGCACCTTGTCTGGAAGTGCCCTGAATCTAAACTACCCCCAAGTGTAAATGTAATTGTTCTTCCAATATCTTCAAGTACAACTGGAAATAGCTGACTTCCCTCCTGTCAGTAAATGCGTGCAAAAAGCACACTCATATGCTTATTTATTCCATCTAAAAAAAACCTCCAAAAAACAAAAAAAAGCCTAAGTGTTTGGTCTGTTTTCGTGCTAGGCTTGCATTGTTTACCCTTCAATAAGCAGAACCTTGAAAAATCCCTGGACAAACATTTCTCAGTGGATGCTTGTAGCAGGAATTCAATTACCCTGAAACATCCACTGACGACTTTCAAACATTCATTTTCATCCTCCTCCTCCTCCTAAGTGCTTGTGTATATGTTTGCAGTTAAAAGCATATTTAGGCAATGACATTGTAATTGTCACTGCTGGAGAGTGGAACTGCTGCTAAAACAGTGAGTGCATTTGGTTGGTTTTGTGTGTGTGTGTGTGTGTGTAGAGACTGTGAGTTTGGTATCAGTGTGTGCTAGGGCCATGTATGAGTGTGTCTACTGGTATACATTTCACATCTCGTTGAAGATGGTGCTCTCTGATTGGCTTACAGTGACCTCATCCATTTGTTGTTACAGTGGAGAACCTTGCACACGCAAACACACACATTCAGTAGTATTTTCACAACGTCGGAGGACATGACATTGACTTACATCCAGTCCCCTGAGACATACTCCAATCCTAACTACAACTACTACTTGCCTAAAACCTGTCTTCATCTTTTAAAAAAAATTGTGTCCCCATATGGACAACTGAGGTCCCCACAACATGAGTAATACCGACCCACACACACACATATGCACGTCATGCAGAACAAGTCATGAAGAGAACATGAATGCGCAAACAGAGATGACAGCATGACTCATATTATTACACTGTGTGTGTGTGTGTGTGTGTGTGTGTGTGTGGTGGGTGGCTGAGAGTGACTATAGGCAGTAACCTGGCCTCCACAGCGGCCAACATTGATCCAATATGCAAAAGATAGGAGGAAGAAAAAGAGTGTCAGGGAAGGAGGCGAGGGTGGGGACAAGGAGGGCTATCGATCGATGAGGTAATGCCGGTGTAGGTGAACGCTTCGTGTCAGAAAGTCACAGACACAAAGAGAGACATACGCAGACGGAGCAGAGTGAGCGCAGAGAATGAAAAGATGGAGGGGCGCTAATCAATAGCAGTAAATAAAGGACACGGAAAAAAAAGAGCAGCAGAGTACAGAAATGGTGAGCGAATATGAAAATGAGGAAAGTGAAGGTTTGAATCCTGATACAAGGAAAATTCTTTGCATTATGTGGAAAAGTTTTGGCTTTTAAAGTTCTGTAGCCACCTCTGCCCTGCAGGACCCTGTAGTGGGTGAAGGCCATATCGGTTTCAAAAAATGCAACCCTTTTTCAAAGGTTAGGGTTCAAAGGTTACCAGCAACAGCTGCCTGGTATCACAGAGAATAAATTTGTTGCAGAATTTCTTGTGCTTTTGTTCTGTTGCATCAAATGTGGAAGAGCAGCAGTAAGAATTTTTAGAAGGTTTGATAACATCAGGGTCACTGACTCATTGTTACAAGGTTGTTATTTGCTCTCTAATTTATTGTTTTTATTAGGCAATAAAAATGAGGTTTTTTGCTGGAGTTTTTTAAATCTCTTCCTCACTGAGCACAAGGTTGTTCATTTTGGCCTTACAGTGTTTACCCGTTACTGATGAAATTTGAAGATTTTTTATTTTCAGATTGAAGTTTCAAAAAGTAGCCGAGGACTTCAAAGATCGTCCACAATGATGGAAGCGGATAAGGTTATGACTAATATGTCACGGAGCTCAGTGTTTTCTGTCACGCTTTGTGTGGATCAGCACTGTTCAAACAGAATTTTACTTTAAAGCTGCTCTAGAAAGTGTTTTTATGTCAACAATGGATGAGATGACTAAGTACAACGTTAACAGGGTCTATCAGCGACAAGTTCACAGAGAATTATCACACGACTCTGCAGTTCCCCTTCACTTTTTAGCATATATTTTCTTATTATTTTGTTTATACCCCTAAATTTATCGCTGTAGTTCACTCTCATTACTCCTTTACCCTTCTTCCAGCAGGTGCAATCATCTGTTTTTAGGAAAAGAGTTGGGATACCTGTTTACCTGTTTAACACCAAACAGCCGACAGAGTTAGCAACTAGCTGATGAACATGGTGGCACATTTAGCAGCTGAAGAGACATATTTCCCTCAGTAGCACCTTTGCTAGCACACTATTTCTATGTCTGTAGCTTGTATTGCTACTATCAAGTGACCAAAAATAGTAAATAAAGAAAAAACACAGCTATAGTATTCAATTAAAGGGTGGGTTCACCCAAAAATGCTCTACATCTTCTAACTCATGCCCGTAAACACTGTACATATCAGATGGACGCAGTCTTCGGAACAGAAAAAGGACGCGAATGTCGAAGTGCTTTACACCTGCGTTCTTCTTAACAGCCAGCAGGGGGCGACTCCTCTGGTTGCAAAAAGACTTTATGTTGTATAGAAGTCTTGATAATGATAGTGACCCTACTAATAACTTGATCTATTACCTGAGTAAACATTTTCTTAATACATTTATGATCTCAATTGCCAGTTTCAAGCCTCCTCTAGTGCAGCATGATGCTTATTTTGTTAATTATGGTCCCATTTAAAATAAAATAGACGATATTGTTCAGGGCTATCTTCTGTGTGTAGTTCTCCAGTTATCAGTCAGATGTGCGTCTCACTCGTTGTGTTTGCTTTCAAAAGACCAAGGTAGCGACAACCACATGCCAAATTCGAGTCGTCAGTCAACAAACCACATGACAGTCATGACCTCCATCATTTATATACTGTCTATGCCTACGTCTAGCAGAGTGCTGGTAATTAGCCTTGTAGGTACAATTGTGTTGGTTTTATTTGTCCAGATTGTAAGATGTGTGTCTTTGAGATTTATGCCTCCACCTAGTATCATGCAGGTAAATATAATTTAGCTTGTATGCTAGTAGCACTGGAAAGTTCTATGTTGTTTAGTTTCAATGCCAGTGTTTATTTACAGAAATAATACCCCAGTCACTGGATAAATAATCTTCAGACCTTACAGGGAACAGTTTTAGATCCTAAGAAAACTGTTGACAGTGAGCTGTGTGGATATGGAGATGTTGCTGTAGATACTTTAAAATGCCATTTTCAGTGCTTTGAAGATGCACAAATTTCAGTTCATCTCCATTGCATCGCAATGGAGGTAGACATTTCAGAAACGAGCATCTTAAAAACTTGGCAGATAAAGCTACCTGTGTGATTAATGTAGATACCAGTGCAGGTGAAGCCTCACAGATCCTTTTACTAAAGTCGTCTCCCCAGATGCATGAGAGGAATCTTTCTTAATAACTTAATACTTCCTTTCCTTTTACACTGCACTATATAATCATTCATGGCACATTTGCCCCATTTACACTCATTTGTAACTTTCAGTGTAAAGATTGTAGTTTATTTCACAATTAGCGCTCATTATAAAACACTCAGCATCAGGCACATTGCTGGAATGTAAATTAGTCACTTGTTTGATGCGCTACCTGATTATGCTTAGACATCTTCCTCCCATTCAAGCCACAGAAATAGATCCAGATTAGACAAAAAAAAAAAAAACACTTCACAGTGTAGCAGAAATAGAAAATAAAAGAGAGAAAAGGAGGCAGTGTGGGCAGAGAGATTTACTGAAATAGGCCAAAGAACCAGAAGAAGACATTACAGGCTATAAATAGAGCAGCATGTCATTAACATGGAAAAGGATGTTCTATGTACAGAAACAATAAAAAATCTCTCTTGGTGCTGACTCATGCTGCATTTCCTGCTAAATTCTTCTGTCCTGTTTGTTTTCTCCTTGCTCTGCTTCTTGTTCTCTCACACCCAACCTCCTTTTTCTGCCTCCTCATATAAATGAGATTTCAAACGATCTTTGATTCCAGCCTAACTGAAGTATCGTCTTACACTAACCAGTTACAACATCTCACCATTTACTGTTGTAAATGTCTCCTCTGTTTGATCTCCTGTCTCCTCTCAAGGGTGTTTGGTACCAGCCTCCCAACCACACACACTCTTTTTTTTTTTTCTCTCTCTCTCTCTCTCTCTCTGCCCAGGGTACCGAGAGGGGTTTCTATGGAAACGAGGACGAGACAACGGTCAGTTTCTCAGCCGAAAGTTCGTCCTCTCGGAGAGGGAGGGAGCGCTGAAATACTTCAACAAGCAGGATGTAAGCAAGATGATACAGTCGATTTTAGTGGGTGTTTACAGAGGCAAAATTTCACTTCGGTAAAAGCACCAAAACACTCAGGAATATGAGACTTTTACAGTGTTCCGTTTGTTGTTTTATGTCTGCCTCCATTAAGGCCAGGGATCCCAAGGCAGTGATGAAAATTGAAACCCTCAATGCCACCTTCCAGCCCGCTAAGATCGGCAATCCCTGCGGCCTGCAGATCACCTACCTAAAAGACAACAGCACAAGGAACATCTTTGTCTACCACAGTGATGCTAAGGTACACTGTCACACGCTTATTAATTGTATTTCTGCACAAGTAACTCTTAATTATTTTCTGTCTTGCAGTGACAGGCTTGTAATCTACTCCATGTCAGCTCTTAGATTACAGTAGTACAGTGCAATAGTACAGAATTAGCAATGTAGTGTGCAACCATGGATATGTCGCTTAATAATTAATTTTCCCTTCTAATTTTGTATACACCAAGAAGCTTGAAAAGATACGTCCAGAAAGTGTTTGGGTAGTGACGCATTCTGTCTTGTTTTGACTCTGGGAGGGCCATGTGATGACTTTTTACAATGTCTATATTCTGACATTAGTAAGAAGTGTTCAAAAATCAGGAGGCTAAAAAAGACAACCTGAGATTGCTGCAGTTTCTATTAGTTTTCAAATTGCAGCACTTAAACCGTGTAGACGTCTTTTAATTTCAAACCATTGACTGTACAGTTCTGAACAGAGGTGTACGTACACTTGTAAAGGTCATGTGTAGCATTGCGATCCTGCGTTTCCAAAGACTCCTGTAACTACATTTTTATGATGGAATGATTGAAACAGCATTTTTGGTGCTTTAACAGATTTATTATAGGTGTGCTAGAAATCTGCTAGGTCACAAATATACACACTGCAATGCCAATATTTAAATAGTTAAATGTCCTTTGGCCATTTTCACCTCAACTAGGTTCTTTTGGTAGCTGTCCACAAGCTTCCTGTTTGACCCAGCACATATTAAGCCTGAATATAATCTGAATGGGTGATATAGATATATAAATTCAGTGCAGTTGTAGTAACAGGGGAATTTAGGTATAGAACTTTTTGTACCAGATTTTAAACATGTTTATTTAAAGCTGGACATTTTACCATGGGCGCCCATGGGGATTGACTCACTTTTGAAGTCTGTGGCCATTGGAGGAACTGCAGCTTCAGACTTCATTTTATGGGTCACATAATTTCCTGGACATTTCCCAGAAAGGATATGCAATCTGGTAGTAACAATACACACAGTATAGACAGTGTTCGACAGTAGGTTGTCACTTATACATTTCAGTTTCATAACAGTGAATTGGTGTAATAGTTGCATAGCTGTACAGATTTCCCAACAAGTTATTCATTTCCAGAGCTGCTTTGAAAGAACTGCTGAAATTCTCGAGAACATTTTTGGCTTTTTGCATTTTCAGCTGACGAACTGTACGCGTAGGAGGCAAATTTAGCTAAAATATATTCAAATCATTTCATTTGTAGCAGTACTATCACAGCTAGGCAACTTGTAGATAAATGCCTGCCCTCATTTTCCATTTTAACCTTCATCACTCTGATTTTGAACCTCTAAGTGCGTATCTGTGCCCTCGCTGTGGGTTTTATACTGCTGAGCCTCGCAATGCTGCTGCACATCCGCAATTTGTGACTAAAATAGAAATAGAGAAAGACTTAATCAAAAATGAGAAGATTAGAGAGAAGAAACAGACAGATATTAATAGCCATTCAGTTGACTGAGAGGGAAAAAAAAGGGATGGAGTTAGAGGGAGCGCTGCCCCCCCTGCTGGTTAAGAAATATTACTGAAGGCTGTGACAGGAAGAGTTCATCGGGTTCATTCGGTGTCACCGTCACTCTCCTTCTGTGGTGGAGTTATCGACAGCACTGCAGCATCCACACAGCACGGATACTTTTAACTATGCTAAGTGTATAAACAATGACTAGGATCAGATATAAAAAAAATATCAAAAAGATCCATTTTATTCACTCAGATCCCAGAATACATGCTGCAATAGGTAGTATGTGAAGTCCAGCAGGACACGTTTGTCAAAGAGAGTGTTTGTTTTCCAGGAAATGGTCGACTGGTTCAACGCTATCAGGGCGGCCAGGTTCCACTACCTGCAGGTCGCTTTCCCTGGAGCAAGTGATGAAGAGGTGAGGATGATGTGATTAATAGAGTTCATGGTGTGTTTCCAAACCAAGAATGCAACATGAAACAGGAAATATACAATTTTCAGTGTGTGTACATACCTCTGTTATTCATTTTGTATACCTGTTATTGATTGTTAGAGAGCTGACTTTCACAAGTTGACCACAACGCTTTTAAACAGAAAGACCTCATCCGTCTCGGAGTCAAGCGACTGCACGATAACCCTGAAGTCCATTACAAATGTCCGTGCTTGAGCAAGTGTCATTTTAAATATTTCATGCGTGCTTTTATTTTGACATCACTCTCTCTTGTCTTTTTTGGCTCCAGCTGGTGCCTAAACTGACCCGAAACTTCATGAAGGAAGGTTTCATGGAGAAAACCGGCCCAAAGGTTTGTGAGCATCACTCTGAAGGGAAACAAATATGACCATTATTAGTTTCATTAGTCATGAGCTTAAATCCAACCAAACTGACACAAGAAAAAAAAGAATAATAGAGAAGCGATCTATGTTTTTTTTCTCTATCCTGTNAAAAAAGCCTAAGTGTTTGGTCTGTTTTCGTGCTAGGCTTGCATTGTTTACCCTTCAATAAGCAGAACCTTGAAAAATCCCTGGACAAACATTTCTCAGTGGATGCTTGTAGCAGGAATTCAATTACCCTGAAACATCCACTGACGACTTTCAAACATTCATTTTCATCCTCCTCCTCCTCCTAAGTGCTTGTGTATATGTTTGCAGTTAAAAGCATATTTAGGCAATGACATTGTAATTGTCACTGCTGGAGAGTGGAACTGCTGCTAAAACAGTGAGTGCATTTGGTTGGTTTTGTGTGTGTGTGTGTGTGTGTAGAGACTGTGAGTTTGGTATCAGTGTGTGCTAGGGCCATGTATGAGTGTGTCTACTGGTATACATTTCACATCTCGTTGAAGATGGTGCTCTCTGATTGGCTTACAGTGACCTCATCCATTTGTTGTTACAGAGGAGAACCTTGCACACGCAAACACACACATTCAGTAGTATTTTCACAACGTCGGAGGACATGACATTGACTTACATCCAGTCCCCTGAGACATACTCCAATCCTAACTACAACTACTACTTGCCTAAAACCTGTCTTCATCTTTTAAAAAAAATTGTGTCCCCATATGGACAACTGAGGTCCCCACAACATGAGTAATACCGACCCACACACACACATATGCACGTCATGCAGAACAAGTCATGAAGAGAACATGAATGCGCAAACAGAGATGACAGCATGACTCATATTATTACACTGTGTGTGTGTGTGTGTGTGTGTGTGTGTGTGGTGGGTGGCTGAGAGTGACTATAGGCAGTAACCTGGCCTCCACAGCGGCCAACATTGATCCAATATGCAAAAGATAGGAGGAAGAAAAAGAGTGTCAGGGAAGGAGGCGAGGGTGGGGACAAGGAGGGCTATCGATCGATGAGGTAATGCCGGTGTAGGTGAACGCTTCGTGTCAGAAAGTCACAGACACAAAGAGAGACATACGCAGACGGAGCAGAGTGAGCGCAGAGAATGAAAAGATGGAGGGGCGCTAATCAATAGCAGTAAATAAAAGACATGGAAAAAAGAGCAGCAGAGTACAGAAATGGTGAGCGAATATGAAAATGAGGAAAGTGAAGGTTTGAATCCTGATACAAGGAAAATTCTTTGCATTATGTGGAAAAGTTTTGGCTTTTAAAGTTCTGTAGCCACCTCTGCCCTGCAGGACCCTGTAGTGGGTGAAGGCCATATCGGTTTCAAAAAATGCAACCCTTTTTCAAAGGTTAGGGTTCAAAGGTTACCAGCAGCAGCTGCCTGGTATCACAGAGAATAAATTTGTTGCAGAATTTCTTGTGCTTTTGTTCTGTTGCATCAAATGTGGAAGAGCAGCAGTAAGAATTTTTAGAAGGTTTGATAACATCAGGGTCACTGACTCATTGTTACAAGGTTGTTATTTGCTCTCTAATTTATTGTTTTTATTAGGCAATAAAAATGAGGTTTTTTGCTGGAGTTTTTTAAATCTCTTCCTCACTGAGCACAAGGTTGTTCATTTTGGCCTTACAGTGTTTACCCGTTACTGATGAAATTTGAAGATTTTTTATTTTCAGATTGAAGTTTCAAGAAGTAGCCGAGGACTTCTGAGGTTGTCCACAATGATGGAAGCAGATAAGGTTATGACTAATATGTCACGGAGCTCAGTGTTTTCTGTCACGCTTTGTGTGGATCAGCACTGTTCAAACAGAATTTTACTTTAAAGCTGCTCTAGAAAGTGTTTTTATGTCAACAATGGATGAGATGACTAAGTACAACGTTAACAGGGTCTATCAGCGACAAGTTCACAGAGAATTATCACACGACTCTGCAGTTCCCCTTCACTTTTTAGCATATATTTTCTTATTATTTTGTTTATACCCCTAAATTTATCGCTGTAGTTCACTCTCATTACTCCTTTACCCTTCTTCCAGCAGGTGCAATCATCTGTTTTTAGGAAAAGAGTTGGGATACCTGTTTACCTGTTTAACACCAAACAGCCGACAGAGTTAGCAACTAGCTGATGAACATGGTGGCACATTTAGCAGCTGAAGAGACATATTTCCCTCAGTAGCACCTTTGCTAGCACACTATTTCTATGTCTGTAGCTTGTATTGCTACTATCAAGTGACCAAAAATAGTAAATAAAGAAAAAACACAGCTATAGTATTCAATTAAAGGGTGGGTTCACCCAAAAATGCTCTACATCTTCTAACTCATGCCCGTAAACACTGTACATATCAGATGGACGCAGTCTTCGGAACAGAAAAAGGACGCGAATGTCGAAGTGCTTTACACCTGCGTTCTTCTTAACAGCCAGCAGGGGGCGACTCCTCTGGTTGCAAAAAGACTTTATGTTGTATAGAAGTCTTGATAATGATAGTGACCCTACTAATAACTTGATCTATTACCTGAGTAAACATTTTCTTAATACATTTATGATCTCAATTGCCAGTTTCAAGCCTCCTCTAGTGCAGCATGATGCTTATTTTGTTAATTATGGTCCCATTTAAAATAAAATAGACGATATTGTTCAGGGCTATCTTCTGTGTGTAGTTCTCCAGTTATCAGTCAGATGTGCGTCTCACTCGTTGTGTTTGCTTTCAAAAGACCAAGGTAGCGACAACCACATGCCAAATTCGAGTCGTCAGTCAACAAACCACATGACAGTCATGACCTCCATCATTTATATACTGTCTATGCCTACGTCTAGCAGAGTGCTGGTAATTAGCCTTGTAGGTACAATTGTGTTGGTTTTATTTGTCCAGATTGTAAGATGTGTGTCTTTGAGATTTATGCCTCCACCTAGTATCATGCAGGTAAATATAATTTAGCTTGTATGCTAGTAGCACTGGAAAGTTCTATGTTGTTTAGTTTCAATGCCAGTGTTTATTTACAGAAATAATACCCCAGTCACTGGATAAATAATCTTCAGACCTTACAGGGAACAGTTTTAGATCCTAAGAAAACTGTTGACAGTGAGCTGTGTGGATATGGAGATGTTGCTGTAGATACTTTAAAATGCCATTTTCAGTGCTTTGAAGATGCACAAATTTCAGTTCATCTCCATTGCATCGCAATGGAGGTAGACATTTCAGAAACGAGCATCTTAAAAACTTGGCAGATAAAGCTACCTGTGTGATTAATGTAGATACCAGTGCAGGTGAAGCCTCACAGATCCTTTTACTAAAGTCGTCTCCCCAGATGCATGAGAGGAATCTTTCTTAATAACTTAATACTTCCTTTCCTTTTACACTGCACTATATAATCATTCATGGCACATTTGCCCCATTTACACTCATTTGTAACTTTCAGTGTAAAGATTGTAGTTTATTTCACAATTAGCGCTCATTATAAAACACTCAGCATCAGGCACATTGCTGGAATGTAAATTAGTCACTTGTTTGATGCGCTACCTGATTATGCTTAGACATCTTCCTCCCATTCAAGCCACAGAAATAGATCCAGATTAGACAAAAAAAAAAAAAACACTTCACAGTGTAGCAGAAATAGAAAATAAAAGAGAGAAAAGGAGGCAGTGTGGGCAGAGAGATTTACTGAAATAGGCCAAAGAACCAGAAGAAGACATTACAGGCTATAAATAGAGCAGCATGTCATTAACATGGAAAAGGATGTTCTATGTACAGAAACAATAAAAAATCTCTCTTGGTGCTGACTCATGCTGCATTTCCTGCTAAATTCTTCTGTCCTGTTTGTTTTCTCCTTGCTCTGCTTCTTGTTCTCTCACACCCAACCTCCTTTTTCTGCCTCCTCATATAAATGAGATTTCAAACGATCTTTGATTCCAGCCTAACTGAAGTATCGTCTTACACTAACCAGTTACAACATCTCACCATTTACTGTTGTAAATGTCTCCTCTGTTTGATCTCCTGTCTCCTCTCAAGGGTGTTTGGTACCAGCCTCCCAACCACACACACTCTTTTTTTTTTTTCTCTCTCTCTCTCTCTCTCTCTGCCCAGGGTACCGAGAGGGGTTTCTATGGAAACGAGGACGAGACAACGGTCAGTTTCTCAGCCGAAAGTTCGTCCTCTCGGAGAGGGAGGGAGCGCTGAAATACTTCAACAAGCAGGATGTAAGCAAGATGATACAGTCGATTTTAGTGGGTGTTTACAGAGGCAAAATTTCACTTCGGTAAAAGCACCAAAACACTCAGGAATATGAGACTTTTACAGTGTTCCGTTTGTTGTTTTATGTCTGCCTCCATTAAGGCCAGGGATCCCAAGGCAGTGATGAAAATTGAAACCCTCAATGCCACCTTCCAGCCCGCTAAGATCGGCAATCCCTGCGGCCTGCAGATCACCTACCTAAAAGACAACAGCACAAGGAACATCTTTGTCTACCACAGTGATGCTAAGGTACACTGTCACACGCTTATTAATTGTATTTCTGCACAAGTAACTCTTAATTATTTTCTGTCTTGCAGTGACAGGCTTGTAATCTACTCCATGTCAGCTCTTAGATTACAGTAGTACAGTGCAATAGTACAGAATTAGCAATGTAGTGTGCAACCATGGATATGTCGCTTAATAATTAATTTTCCCTTCTAATTTTGTATACACCAAGAAGCTTGAAAAGATACGTCCAGAAAGTGTTTGGGTAGTGACGCATTCTGTCTTGTTTTGACTCTGGGAGGGCCATGTGATGACTTTTTACAATGTCTATATTCTGACATTAGTAAGAAGTGTTCAAAAATCAGGAGGCTAAAAAAGACAACCTGAGATTGCTGCAGTTTCTATTAGTTTTCAAATTGCAGCACTTAAACCGTGTAGACGTCTTTTAATTTCAAACCATTGACTGTACAGTTCTGAACAGAGGTGTACGTACACTTGTAAAGGTCATGTGTAGCATTGCGATCCTGCGTTTCCAAAGACTCCTGTAACTACATTTTTATGATGGAATGATTGAAACAGCATTTTTGGTGCTTTAACAGATTTATTATAGGTGTGCTAGAAATCTGCTAGGTCACAAATATACACACTGCAATGCCAATATTTAAATAGTTAAATGTCCTTTGGCCATTTTCACTTCAACTAGCTTCTTTTGGTAGCCGTCCACAAGCTCCGGTTTGATCCAGCACATATTAAGCCTGAATATAATCTGAATGGGTGATATAGATATATAAATTCAGTGCAGTTGTAGTAACAGGGGAATTTAGGTATAGAACTTTTTGTACCAGATTTTAAACATGTTTATTTAAAGCTGGACATTTTACCATGGGCGCCCATGGGGATTGACTCACTTTTGAAGTCTGTGGCCATTGGAGGAACTGCAGCTTCAGACTTCATTTTATGGGTCACATAATTTCCTGGACATTTCCCAGAAAGGATATGCAATCTGGTAGTAACAATACACACAGTATAGACAGTGTTCGACAGTAGGTTGTCACTTATACATTTCAGTTTTATAACAGTCAATTGGTATAATAGTTGCATAGCCGTACAGATTTCCCAACAAGTTATTCATTTCCAGAGCTGCTTTGAAAGAACTGCTGAAATTCTCGAGAACATTTTTGGCTTTTTGCATTTTCAGCTGACGAACTGTACGCGTAGGAGGCAAATTTAGCTAAAATATATTCAAATCATTTCATTTGTAGCAGTACTATCACAGCTAGGCAACTTGTAGATAAATGCCTGCCCTCATTTTCCATTTTAACCTTCATCACTCTGATTTTGAACCTCTAAGTGCGTATCTGTGCCCTCGCTGTGGGTTTTATACTGCTGAGCCTCGCAATGCTGCTGCACATCCGCAATTTGTGACTAAAATAGAAATAGAGAAAGACTTAATCAAAAATGAGAAGATTAGAGAGAAGAAACAGACAGATATTAATAGCCATTCAGTTGACTGAGAGGGAAAAAAAAGGGATGGAGTTAGAGGGAGCGCTGCCCCCCCTGCTGGTTAAGAAATATTACTGAAGGCTGTGACAGGAAGAGTTCATCGGGTTCATTCAGTGTCACCGTCACTCTCCTTCTGTGGTGGAGTTATCGACAGCACTGCAGCATCCACACAGCACGGATACTTTTAACTATGCTAAGTGTATAAACAATGACTAGGATCAGATATAAAAAAAATATCAAAAAGATCCATTTTATTCACTCAGATCCCAGAATACATGCTGCAATAGGTAGTATGTGAAGTCCAGCAGGACACGTTTGTCAAAGAGAGTGTTTGTTTTCCAGGAAATGGTCGACTGGTTCAACGCTATCAGGGCGGCCAGGTTCCACTACCTGCAGGTCGCTTTCCCTGGAGCAAGTGATGAAGAGGTGAGGATGATGTGATTAATAGAGTTCATGGTGTGTTTCCAAACCAAGAATGCAACATGAAACAGGAAATATACAATTTTCAGTGTGTGTACATACCTCTGTTATTCATTTTGTATACCTGTTATTGATTGTTAGAGAGCTGACTTTCACAAGTTGACCACAACGCTTTTAAACAGAAAGACCTCATCCGTCTCGGAGTCAAGCGACTGCACGATAACCCTGAAGTCCATTACAAATGTCCGCGCTTGAGCAAATGTCATTTTAAATATTTCATGCGTGCTTTTATTTTGACATCACTCTCTCTTGTCTTTTTTGGCTCCAGCTGGTGCCTAAACTGACCCGAAACTTCATGAAGGAAGGTTTCATGGAGAAAACCGGCCCAAAGGTTTGTGAGCATCACTCTGAAGGGAAACAAATATGACCATTATTAGTTTCATTAGTCATGAGCTTAAATCCAACCAAACTGACACAAGAAAAAAAAGAATAATAGAGAAGCGATCTATGTTTTTTTTCTCTATCCTGTTCATCATTTCCAAAGTACTAGATATATTTAAGTTGTCCAAATAGTTTGCATATTGTTAAGACCAACATATAGATACATATACCAGGTAATGTTAATGCTAAGTGCTTTAACAGAAGGAAACTGGACTTCTTTTTGCTACTTGAAGACATTTCACCTCTCATTTAGGAGCGTCCTTGGTGTTTAATCCCATACCTAACTCACATGGCTTAAGACTCTTTGTTGAACCAGAATCACATGACTGTAGGTGTGAATGCCTGCAGAAGGATCTCAAGACTGCATAATAAGTATCTGATAAGTGGTGTTATCGACCCTCTCTCCTCTTTAGGGATAGGTACACAAAGGAACCACAAGAAGTCCAGCTGCATTCTACTTAAGCGCTAATGTGGTGCAATTTTAAGAGACACTAGCCTCTCTTTATTAAAGAAAGGTTGGAGATCTTCTTCTTCACCGGGACAACTGCTCCATCTGCCTATTCCCAAAAGTCCACCGTCTCTTTCCAGTTGAGTTCATCAACGGATCCCTTTATTTTAACATCTCAAAAACATCTCCAGAGTTCAACCATCTCTCTCAGACTTCCTTCATCACTTCGCATGTGGATTATTGCAAAAGAGTACCATCTGGGCAACCTAGCTAAACCCTGGGCAGGCTTCAGTATGTACATCACTTAACTGCCAGTGTTCTCACTCACACCAAGATCTGGATACACATCACCTTCACTGTTTCCCAATGCAGTTCCATATCTCATACGAGATACTCCTCCTGACTTATGAATTCCCTCACTACCAGACCTCCTCCATTCTTATTCAGTTGTTGAATCTACGGTTTTCAGACACAGATCTGCTCACTATCCCTGACACATTTTGAGACTTTAGTGTGGTAGTTGTCTCCTGGCAAAGATCTGCAACACCGCCTCTATTGTGACTTTCAAAAAAACTTGTGAAAACCCACCACTCCACCGAGGGCTATGGTCTCAGTTAATGCCGTCTCTCTGGCAAGCTTTGCCGCTATTATTTTTTGTTCTTGTGCTATTGTCTCTTTCCGAACCTGTAAACCATCCTCGGGTCCTTTAAAGGCGCTATGTAAATGCAGACTATTATCGTTATTATTAACAGTCGTCACATTTTTTGTACTTGCAGAAAATGTGCCAAGCTGTTCTGATAATTGATACAATTTGCAGTGCGCTGATTGCCTTTTTTGTTATTTCTCTTGCTAATTTTCCTGCCTGTCATGCTCTGCCACAGCACACAGAGGGCTTCAAGAAGAGGTGGTTTACTATGGATGACAGGCGGCTCATGTATTTTAAAGACCCTCTGGTAAGAAGACACCTGCGTCGTCCCGACCTTTTGATTTGTAGGTCGCGTAGTTTGCTCACGGGTCTTCCGTCTGTCTTTCCGTCTCCCAGGATGCCTACGCCCGAGGCGAGGTGTTCATCGGCAGTAAAGAGAACAGCTACACCGTCCTGTCCGGGTTGCCTCCGTCCACGCAGGGCTACCACTGGAACCACGGCATCACCATCGTCACGCCGGACAGGAAGTTCCTCTTTGCCTGTGAGACCGAAGCCGAGCAACGGGATTGGATAGCTGCTTTCCAGAGGGTCATCAATCGACCAATGAGGCCGCAGGAGTATGCAGGTCATTAGTCTGAATGTATGAATGATGGAAAGGTTCATTTACAGTTTGTAATTTTATTACTCTTAACCTAACTTTGGATTTAAGTGGTCATAAGCAGATAAAAAATAATGAAAAATATGGCTTTTTAAAATTGTCAGGATATTTATTACGAGTAAATACAAAATGTTTACAATGTGTGTTTACAGTAAATGCACAGATTTAAGTCTGCAGTCATTTTCCACCAATAAAATTAAAACAAGACATACTTTATCTTTTAAAAATCAAGAAAAATAAACACATATATTTCTGAACATGATTAAAAGAAAAAACGTGGTGTCACAGTCTCATAAATATAGCAAAAAATATCTTATAAGTTATGTAACCTGCAGTTCAGAACCAAGCCTGTCTACTGCTGATGTATTCAAATACATGAAACTAGCTTTTTGGCAGAAGTTTTGTTGTCAACAGGGATCAGAGTAAAATGGTCAGAGCAGATATTACAATAATATTATGTTTTTTTCAATAACTATTGCCAGTAAAAGAAATCACCCTTGATTTTCTTTACTATGTTTTCATTGGAAACCTTGAAATGATGTAAGAAAACAAGCTCAAGGCCTATTATATATATGTAATAATGTGAAGATACGGAATAACAGATTTATGAAATTACAAGTTTAGTTTCATTTCTAATCAGAAAAACGTTGCATTTTATGATAGCAGTCAGTTTTGGGATTGTTCTGTCAGCCTGACAGAACGATGCTCTTACCATTATGGGGTGTCTTACCCAGTGGGTTGAACATTTTGGGGGAAAAACTGAACTACATCAAACAAAGACTACAAAGACTTCACTATATGCCAACAGGACTTTCTGCTGCTAACAGACTGAAAAGAAGCCGCTTGGAAAAGTCTGCGGTGCACCCTGGGGATCTGTTTGGGAACAGGGAATATGTGTTGAATTTAAAAAGACCTTGAGTCTCAACACAAAACACGAGCCCGAAGCATGTTTTATGCAAACGCATCAGCACTGCCACCCAAAAGCTGTATATTAGCAGAAACCACACTACATAGAAACACATTAAATTTACATTGCTGTGCCTCATTTTGTTTGTCTCTGCAGTGGAGGCCCATTTCAAACACAAGCCTTGATGCCTGCACGAAGCCAAAACTCAACTGGACCGGCCCAGTCTCATTCAGATCAGAGACGGCCCCGGCAGGGGGGACCACGGACCATGGGGTTGGGGGTCAGGAGGGGGTTTTGGGATGGGCTCAAGATGAGAAAAGATGAAGAAGAGAGAACGTCAGAGAGACTCCAGTCTATCTATGTGTAGAAAACTTAAACCTCTAACGGGACTCAAGGCTCCTCGTGGGGCGATCCGAGGCCAAAGGGTAGATGATGTCATCACTATTGCCTACCAACCTTGTGCTGTACATTATAACGCCAAACACCCCTCCCCCTCCTTAGCCTTTTCCCCGCCCCGCGACCAGCTCCCCTCTCCCCGTTATTTTGTCTTGTGAACGGTTCATTCTGCCTGTAATCTAATGTAATTATGTAATCTAGAGTCATTTCACTGGTTGCTTAACAAAGACAATGCATTGTTAATTTATTGAATGTACAGTTTTGATGACAGTGGCTTACTGTGTGTGTGCGTGTGCGTGCGTGTGTGTGGAAATTGTGACGTTTTGATTGAGGACGCTGTGAGGTTGAACCTCTCGCACTGAAACCCTGATAAACCTGAAACTACAAAGTGCTGTTAACAACAAATATGCATACAAAAACTCACACACAAACTCTCAGTGAACGCCATCACGTAGCTGGAGGTGGCAGATCTACACCCAGGCAGGGTTCTTTTAAAACCTCAATCTTACAGCTGTTCTCGTATTTATTTTTACTGTTGAACATACTGAGTCATCGTAGACAGTTATTGCTGCTTTCAAGGATTGTAATGTGACAGGATTGTAATTTATATAACACTTCTACTACTGTTTGGTTTCCCTTTTTGCATCATGTTTTAAAGACACATTGTTGTGTTGATCCTTCAATCACAGTGATAGTTTGTTTCATTATGAAAGTCTTAACATCAATACAGATGAACATGAGATCAAGGCTCTGGTGTTTACTCCTCGTTGTCTTCTTTGGCATTACATAACGCATCGTTCACTTTTCAACTCACCCACCGAATCAAGCATGCTTCCGCACTGCTTGATTCGGCATGAAAACTCAACCAAAGTGTTGCCAGAAAATGTTGTGTCACACATACTGAGTTTTCAAGGCCTTTAATAACACATGTTAAAACATATTGCCATCAGGATAATCTTTGGTTAATAATATATCCAGAAATATTTGTTTTCTCAAACATTCAAATGTTAAAATGTCCTTTTCTTTTTAAGCATGTGTACTGCAAAGGTAATGCTATTATTTTTTTTTTAAATAAATAAATAAAAAATGCAGCCATGCTCTATTTAGCCAGCAGATGGAGGTGTTCCATTACACATATTTACTCCTCACAGGGTGAAACGCTTCTGAGAGAATGGTGAGATTTCAAACTATAGAAAAATAATCAAATGAAACGGTGTTTACAGACAGATGGCCAATTAAATTTTGGGAATGCACTCATTTGCTGGCTTGTTGCCCTTTAGATGAGAAGTTGAAGTTACTCAGTTTTTAAAAGTACTTCACTATTTCAGCAATGCAGTGCTTTAATATTACTGTATGTCAAAAGACAGATTTTTAAAAGTATAAAAATCATCGCAGCAGAACCAGAGATGTAGTTTTTATTCACACATTTTCTGAAATTCTGGTGCATACATTACCCACAATGCAACTTTACTGATAGCATATCTGCTAGATTAACATGTTGTGCTTATAGCATAGACTGTGTATAGAAGGTGGCCATAGTGTAAAAAAGTGAATTTGGTGCCTTTAACCTGTCTTTTCTGAACCAGTCAGCAGGGGGCGACTCTTCTGGTTGCAAAAAGAAGGCCACTTGTATTCGAGTCCATGAGAAAATGACCTTACTTTCAGTGAACATTTTCTTAATGAGTTTATGGTCAAAATCAGTACCTACAAGTCTCCATCCATAAGGCATGATGTTCATTTTGTAAATTATGGTCCTATTTCGTGGAAAACTGACGATAAAGCAGAGTATCTTTTAGAGCTTGGCTACCTGACTGATAGATCGTATGTCCTCAGTCAGATCCACCCCTCACTCTCTTTTGTAAAAGATGGTGATGGCAAAATTGCATTACATACCAACGGCTAACATCATAATGATAAGGCCCATCTTGTACATACCAGTATATGCACTGTGTAGCGTCCAACTGCTAACCTCAAGCAAAGGTGAGTAGAAAGCAACAAACTCCTGGTAAGCTCACATCCCCAGATGTTTTCTCATTTTCAAGTGTGTAATCTTTATCCGCAACTTACACTAATTCAAGTGACATCACTTATGCAGTATCTACAGCAACTATCCAACTGTAGCCAAGCCAATTAGCTTTTTGACTGGATGCTAACAAGGATTAAACATACAACATATGAGATAATTAATGAATTGTAGTAGTTTTGGTAGACATGTTTCTTACTTGACCCTGCTTCCAGGTGGCAGGCAGACTTGACCCATCTCTATGCTAAGCTAAGCTAAACACTATCTAATGCTAGCTTCAAACCAAATCAACAGACACGAGACTATCTTTCTGCAAGAAAACTGCGTCTTCAAAGGAAAAAATGAATGCATCGGCAGGGTGCATCCTACAAAGATTAATTTTTGGCAACCTGCAAGAAGTCTGTGCCATAATAACAAGAACTAAGCACAATAATAGCAATTACTTTATCTTTTACTAGTTTTGTTAACTGGGATTTCATTTACTCAAGCATAATATGCCTTTTTGTTTGGCAAATGGGAAGAAATGCCAAGAATGGAATGGACTCTTCCACCAACTGAGGTTACTCAGACTCACTGCCTTTATAATGCATGGACCGATCATACTTACTGGCATTAAGCAATAAAGTTTTATTCTATTCTTCTATTCTATGTGCAGTCCCCCCTAAAGCTCATTCTCAGCCAGGAAAAAAAAAACCCTGAATGACATATCAAATTCAGATTTTTCCATGCACAGAACAGAGGTCGCTGACCTGATGTCAACTCAAATAAACACCTATGAGCGATTTAGGAGTGACGTCTTAGATGGCAGTCTCCACTCCCATCGTCCCAGCGGAGTTCCACACACTCACTTGTTTTGCATGACGGTAGATGGAGCTCATTGGTCACTTGTAAAAAGGCCATCGATGCGTGTTGGAGCTGCACACTCCCTAGGACAGGCCGTGAACTGAAGGTCTGCTGGTGTGAATGTCACCTGATGATCTCCCCACTCTTACACAAACTTCCACACGCTGGCTCACGGACATATGGCTAAATCAATGTTGCTTCTGTTTGGCCGCCTTGTTGTCGTTGGCAACCGTGTTGTCATGGTAAACTGCTGAGACAGTGAGCCACAGAGCTGCAGCAGCCGGGACGGACCCACACAGGAAGCGTTTAAAAACGGGTGGGACCTCGACTCAGCAGCCGCTGTGTTTGTTCTGGAGATAATATGGTCAGTGAGGTGCTGGAACATGTAGCAAATGTTTATTGACGGCGGACCTGCTGCTTCACTACATAATCGTTTGACCAGGATATAATAGGTACAACCACAAATTGAGTGTAAGACCATTTTGTTAACGTAGTCTGCATTCATGTCAGCAAGTGTTTTTTGCGCGTTGTGGGTCAATAGAGCGTTCGTCATAGTGCCACTGGAATCTGTTGTCCAGCTGTCCCGTCCATCAGGCCCTGCAGCCGACGGATGGGACAGCCGGAGCTGGGAGTGTGAAATTAACTAATCTCCTGACAGGAAACCCAGCAGGAGCAGCTGTCAGACTGGAACCAACCTGGAAATGAAGCAGCAGTGAAGAACCATGACTGGCTTCCAAACTAGCTGTGATGTCATGCATCCCGCTGGCAGGTACTCCACTAAAACTCAAGTTCTAGGCGCCACTTTCAGAATATAGCTTTCGACTGTCAAACTCAAAACATAGATCATTGTGTGGAGTGACACTCCAACAGCCAAGGGCACATTCTTTGGTGACTTGTGAGGTGTGCAGGTGTTGCATTTTCATTTTCATTGCTTGTTATCCAGTCTTCATTGCAGCACTAGTGAAAGTCCCTCTCCAGTCGTTGCTTTAACACCTAAAAAGCTATCTCTCTGTATCATAATTAGAATTTATTCCATTAAATAATCCTGTCCTGTTTAAACTTGAATGTGACTCCAGTTGCCTCCTCGAGAATGTGCAAATCTATGAAGTCCCTCTCCCTCCTCTCACCGCTACCTGCTTGCTGCAGCTGGAGCACACCAGCTCACCTACAGCTCTGCTCAAACACTGTCCACACATCCATTGAGAATAGCATTTTAGCTTCATTTCAGAAATAATATCAGTGCATTCCAACATACTTGTAAAAAAAATACAAAATAAAAGAAGTTTTTCAGAGCTTCTAACTGTAATCGGTTTGAACAATGTGCTGTTATTTTATAGATTTTTCCTGTTTTGCTAAACATAATAATATTACATTATTACTTTTACTGTATTGACATCAGCAAAAATGATATCATTGCTTCAAAGATAGTTTCTGTATGAAAAAAATTTGTGTAAAAAATATGGATATTAAAAACAACTATTTAAAGTATTCATTTCTATGTACACTATAAATACATTTTTAAAAAATTGATCAAAACGTCATTTTTAAATCTTTTTTTTTTTTCCAAATAACTAATTATTTCTTTGCAATATGTGATTGTAAAATGACACTATTTTTACTATTTTAAAATCTACTGAAAAGGCTTTTTCCATCATTTTCACTATTTTATTAGTTTTAAAATGTTACAGTATTCCACTGCTTTAACACACCCCTGCTGCCAGATTTTCCACAATTTTTTAAAAGAATTTTATTACATTGTACTGAACACGGAGCAGGGGCTCGATTGCTTAGTTGTAAAAAAAAAAAAAAGAGCAGCAATGACATGAAGCATGACCAGACATTTCCTTAACTGCCCAACAGCTGCTAGCATAGACAACACCTGTTGTCATTATTTATTTTGAATGAACTACTGGTAGTCAAAGCTGAAGCCGTTGGTTTTTGTTACAGAAAACAGCAGACTGCAATTTGTACGTGGAAATGCTCAGCCATGGTGTTGACTTCTCATTTCACTCATGATGTTTCTTCCAGCATATAAAAAACACTCTATAGACATGTTAACAAGGTAAAAAAAACAACAAGTTGATTTTCATTGGAGGAAGTCTTTAAGACAGAAAACACAATCTCTTGGTCATTACTGATGTAAAGCACTTTGTTACTGGCTGAAGAATAACAATCTTTATAGACACATGTGGAATCTTCACATAATTCTGTCCTACCCCAGAAAAAGAATGTAACAGCTTCAATGTTAATCAAAACGTATGAAAATTAGGAAACTATTTGACTCCTTCAGCTTTATTGTGGAAAAACTGCTACAACGCATAAAACTCCGTGTCTTAAATAGGTGCTACATTCACACCCAAATTTCATTAGTGTGGAGTTTCAATGGAACATTTTAGTGTCCAACGTAGGTTTAAATGTCATGCTGCAGGCGTTTTACCAAGAAAAGAGTCCAGTTCAGGAGAGCACACTGAATCTTTGTTAATATTTAGATTTCTTTTGCACAATGATGCAACATATCTACGCACCACACGAGTCCTGGATGAAAAAAATACCACCAATCACCGTCGGTCTGAGTATTGCAAGTTCGCCTAAATGGCCACGTTGTTGTCCTCTTCAAGGCCTGGTGAGTGTGGTGTAGATAGGCTGCTCCCAGCCAGATGGAGGACTGTGTGGAGGTGGTGCCAAGGCCAGGCTGTTGATAAGCGGCGTGGCGTAAGGCCTGCGAGAGGAGTGGAAGTATGGGTATTGATACAGACTGGCAGAGTAACCAGAGAAAGCGCTGTAGAAGCTGGAGCTCTGAAGGTCAGTGTAGTCTGATTGATTGGTAGAGGACGAAGAGGAGGTGGAGGAAGGGCAGGCGCCTGAGCTCAGGGAGGTGTACTCAGGTGGGTGCGCTGTTGGGGGAGGAGTGGAGGTGGACGAGGAGCTGTAGTGGCCCGGGCTCATCTGCTCCGTCTTAATTTGAGGTTTCCGGCTGACGTCCTCGTGCAGCCCATGGGCATCTCGATTCTGCGTTCCACCGGATGTTTTGGGTGTCCAGTTGGAGACGCTGTGGGAGTGACAGTGGGTGCTGGGCGGGATGAATGATCCGGAGGGGCTGCTGGTGTCCGGTGGCGTTAGAACAGCGGCGCCGTGGCTGTTTGGAGGCAGGTACTGGTCAAACTCATGAACGTCGAAGCCATCGATGGTGCCGATGACGTCGGTGCTGAGCTCTGAGATGTCCACGTTGCTGAAGTCGATGTTCTGGCGGTTCAGAGGAGGAGCAGAGCTAATGTCCATGGGACGACGGCCCTCGTGCTTGGTTCCCATGTGTAGGTCTGTTTTAGGGGTAGTAGGAGGTGTTGGAGGTCCGTGAGACTGACCTGGAAACCAAAAAAAAGGAAATATCAACCATTTTTCCACATTCAAGCATAAACAAGTTGAATTATAGCTCATGTGCTAATGAAAAGTCTATCATAGTCTCATCACCTGTCCTGTCTGGATGATAATGGTGGTGCACCTCCCCTGTACCAGCCAGCCTGGACAGCCCTGGTTCCATTTTATACAAGCCCTGCTGCTGCTGCTGCTGCTGTTGCTGCTGCTGCTGGACCAGTCCGGCTCTGCAGTCCCCTTGGCCCGGCTTGGTGTTCTTGCGTCTCCGAGGCTGGTACTTGTAGTCGGGATAATCTTTCTTGTGCTGCAGTCTCAACCTCTCGGCTTCCTCAATGAAGGGACGCTTCTCTGTTTCAGAGAGAAGTCTGAGGAGGACAGGAAAGAGTTAGTGGATAACTAAAATGGCAGGGAGAAAAACACGTGTTCATCTCATAATGTGTTGCATGTTGTTTTGTGTTCAGCACTGAAAATGAAACTGCGGTATTAGCATTAGGATTCCTGTTAACGTGCAAAGTCACATGTGTGCAGCACCATATAATCTAAGTACTATCATTAAGTACAAACTTCAGTTAGTTGTACTCCTATGTCCATTTTACTTTACACTTCAGTTCAGACAGAAACATTGCATTTTAAACATTTTACTACTTTATTGCCATTACATTCAATGGACTTTTGTCCTAAATTCAAGTGTTTGTACTTTTACTTCAGTGTCTTTTCACAAGAAACTCAATTTTCAACTTATTAACAATGCATCTCTTAACAGATGATGTGCACGTTTTTCATTTTTTAATCTAATCTTTTACTTAAAGGAGTTTTTGCATTGCGAAGGGAGAACCACGGTCTCCTCCTAATGGCTTCCTGCATTCGTTAAATGATCCTTGTACCAAGATATTTTGTTGTGTTCATGCAAAATGCAACAGATTAAATGAAATTCTAGTTTAGAGCAGTTTTATTGCCTTACAGATGATGTAGTGAGAGGCTTTTGATGTCAGTAAAGTGAGATTCTGAAATGAAACTGGAAAAAATAGGCTTTGAATTTGGATGATACTGTAGCTGCATGCATTAGGTGTACATTAGTTTAAAAAATAAGCTCCATGAGCTCCAGCACTTACCGCCACAGCTTTCCCAGCGTCTTGCTGAGCTCAGCGTTGTGCAGATGTGGATACTGGTCCGCCAGCTTCCTCCGAGCTGCCTGCGCCCAAACCATGAACGCGTTCATCGGCCGTTTCACGTGAGGTTTGCTCTTCAGCCCTCTCTCTCCCTGGCTGGGCATCGGCACCAGCGACCAGTCGTAACCTTTCAGCACCTGCGACACCGCGTCGCGGATGCAGGCAGGGAACCGCTCGTCCTCCGGACAGCTCTCCGCTTTGTGCGTAATCCCTGGCGGGCGCGCTGCCTCCTGCGCCTCGGATCCTGCTGGAGAGGTCAGAGACTCTGAATCTGATCCATGCTGGGACATGGAGCCCTCACTGCCCGCTGGGCTGCATGGATGCTCAGTCAGTGATTTGTTCTCGTCGGTCATGTCTGGTGCTGGAGTAGTCTACTGTCGCCTAAATTCCAGAGGAGCTCTCCACGTGCGTAAAGGCGCACGGTTCTGTAGGAAGACTGTATCCCCAAGAAAACAAGTAAAATCCCAGATTTCTTGTGTTGAACTTGCCATTCCCTTTCACATCCTCCTCCACAGCCAGACAAACTTTGACGAGCCACTGTAATATTTCAAGTCTTTAGTCCTACATCTCTCCACCCCTCTTGTCTTATTGGCTTTTGCAAATTTTGAGTTCCTCCTAGTCTGGCATACCGAAGCAAAAGGAGGTAGAGAACTGTCAACAGTCAATATTAAATTAAGGATTTAAAACAAATTGCAGCGCGGGTTTGGACAGTAGTCTACTCAGTAAAAATTATGGTTCTGAGGCAGAGATGAAGCAGACTACTTAACCGTCGCTACTTTATGTATGTGCTCTACTTGTTTCGTCACATTTCAGAGACAAGTGTGCTTTTTACTCTCCTACTAAATGTCTGACACAGAAACTGTTGTGATGTTTAACATAACCAAGATGCTCTCCAGTTATAAAAGTACTTAAGTACTTAAAAATCAGCCCCACCTTGAGCAAGGAAACTCCAATAATTAAATAATGCTTAATAATATTTCACAACTTAGGCATTCTCTAATGAGTGCTTTTAGATTTGATTAAGTGTGGACATTTATTTCACCAAATTTTTTTTAACTGTTATTATTATCATCATCACTATTATTATTGAGACACCCCAAATGAGACATAATTATGTGTGTAAAAAAAATCTGCTATTCCACGTTCAATCCTATTTAGTGTTAAACCACGAGCATCAACTTTTTTTTTATTATTGCAGGTTTTATCAGCCTATTTATTCATTTATTCGTCATTATTCTTTAGCTCTTCTTCAGTTGTTACTTTTATTTTAAATTCTGGGTAAACACTTGATTTCTCTTCATATTTCAGTTAGGTGGGAATAATAATAATAATAGAAACAGAAAAACACATGCACACACACAACCATGCCTCCACAGTCATGTGAAAGGGGAATTAAATTAAAAACAATGACATTCAGTTATCTGATCAACAAGAAGAATACTTGGAAACTCTACAAATTATGAGTGATGTCTCATACTTCCTTCAAGAGTGCTTTGTAATGTCAAAACACAAAAACACAGGCATTATTGATATTTTAAACCGATTTGAACATGCTACTACTTTCTAAAAGAGAATCAATGAGCTTTTGAATGGAAAAAATAACTATCAGTCAATGAATTACAATCAAACTTAACTCATTAAAACAACATTCCCAATTGTTGATGTTTTGCTTGTTTAATTATGACAGAATGTGTCAGTAGGACATGACCTCTGCTTAATTACCTATGACGTCTATAAAATGTAAATTTTAAAAACCACATTTAAATATATTTAATCTATAAAACAACAACAACAACAACAACAACAA